ATTGCGTATGCCCAGCCATCGTCTGCCACATCGCGCTTTATTCGCTGTAGTTAATCCGGGCTGGAGAAAACCACGTGGAGGTCAACGGATGACGTGAGGACGAGGCATGAAGAAATGCACGGAGCCATTAGGTAGAGTAAGTGTCTCCCACCTTCCAGTTTTGGGTCCGAAAGATCACAACTGGTTGGTTGGAGTCATTGAAGGATATGGCAACGAACCGACAGCAGTTGTGTTCTTGTCGTTTCTTATCAGGTCAGAATGCTTGAAACGGTATGTGTGCAGAGTTCGATTGCGCACTCTGTGTGTTGACCATGGTGGCTCATCTTCTTCTCCCTCCCTCACAATGGATCCAACCTGTCTAACTTCAATTTCAGCACTAACCTGGTATGCGTTGTGAGTTTGGCAGCGGTCACTGAAGTTCGCTTCACTGTATTTCGCTGTACGATGATGATGATGATGTCCGTGTACCTTAAACCCACCGAGGTTTTACGGATCACCGACTGGTCTTCACAATTATACCTTAATATGAATCCTTATAAATGTACAGATTATCTATTTTATTTTCTGAAGGGTGACAAATAAATTGATAGAATGAACCCTGCCCAGTATGTCATTATCAACGGAGATCAAGTTTCCCAAAAGAGCACCGTCAAACACCTCGAAGTCACCAAATTCGGTGACCCATCTTGGCTTCTTCATGTCGTCGAGACATTTCACAAAGTTAGGAAAATGGTTTTTCAAGTTAGCCATTTGAAAGTGCTGTTTGCCCGGACGTACTTAACGTTTTGTCTTCTCTTGCATCCTCTTCCACTGGCTTTATGTATCCCCAGTTATCTTTTTCGGTCTTCTGATCATAGAATTTGAACACACTTAGATCTATCGAAAACCCAATTCGACAAAGTGACTCAACTCGCGAACGTATTGTGCAGTTGCTAATTTCAGAACACTTTAATGCTTTCAGAAAATCTCCACCAGGATGCTGTTTGATCCAATTCACCTGCTTTACTCACATCTAAGCAAACGTATCTCCACCTGTAGGATTCACTCCAAGCAGAAACACATCGCAGCGCGCACTACAACCCACATGTCTTCTGTAATATTCTACCTTGCATAGTTTCCTATTACATCGATCTTGTCATTGAAAACCTCCAAGTCAAATTATGCTGAATTTGCTAGATCTTATATGCAGGTAGTGTTTCATTGTTCTTCATAGCTCTATCTTCCCCATTCGGAACAGTGACTATGTAGAAGCTGAATATTCACACCCTATGGGGAGAACTGAAACGGTGTTTTTATACTTAAATAGATGGTAGATGAAATCTACCACAGCAATAAGAGTACAACAAACTTCACCACTACTCACATATGATAACGTACAAATAATATCAATATCCCACAGTCTGTACCAGAGGCAACGTAAAATCTAAATAACAAAGCAAATTACCTTGCTCGAATTCAACAATAGGTGACCGTTGGCTAGAACGGAACGGGGCCAGAGTTCCGGTTGATTGGGCCAAATCGCAGTATGGTTGTACAAGTAGTACGTGAGATGATTTGGTATCAAATCTTTGCCACTAGAACGTAGATCTACTGGATACCAGAAGAGAAATTCACGACGAAGACGTTTCAACAGATCCACAGTTAATGTGGACTTGTGTTGTTGCTCAATAATTTTGCTTGGATCACCCTCGCCAAGAAATATGAAATCCCATACTTCTGGAGTCATGTGTTCCGGGCTGAGGCAAACAAAAAAATGATGATAAATGCTATGAAATAGTGGTTAGGATGACTCAATCGATGTCCTAATCATTAGGGATTTTCAACACACGGAGACAGTTGTGATTGGTAAAATTCACTCAGGTAATGGATGACGCATTTGAAAATTACCGTTTGTTCAGATGCTTGATAACTTAGCAATCAGCTGTTCTTCTGTCATTGAATGATATTTGAGAAACCATAACATAGGAAGAACGACAGATCGATGACAGGAGAGTGATCCTCCAGATGGTTAAACGTAAATAAGGGAGTTTCACCTGACCAACAAGCGGTCGCGGAGAGAGAACACGACTGAGAAAACGAGTCAGCGTGTATTACCGATCATGACGCAATAAGCAGATATATATGGTAGATTAGGCGTACGAGAAACGACGTGATGGCGCACCAATCAGATCGCTTCATTGACAGAACGGCTGATCGATCGGACGACAGTTGTCTGATTCGTCTCAGTCATCGAAACCGGAATCTATGCGCCTTCGGGCGTCGCGAACGCACCTGTGGTATGACACCGATCGATGCGTGGCCTGACGGGTCCTGTGCGTTTCATCCTAACAACCCGCCACTAAATAAGCCTAAAACCCTGTCGGCAAAAATCAAGGTTTCATAATAAGTAGTATGTCAATGACTGCACAAAATTTCCCTGGAAGCACACGACCGGTTTCGCGGTCCTTGCGGCTCGTCAGGCATGCGCATCCGGTAATCTTTTGTTAACTCATTCATATACTTGTACCCACGTACAAAGAGAGCTGTCTATCCGAACGTTGGTTGCTGTCTTTTGGCTGCCCAGTTGGACGAAGAATAGGAGACGACAGTAAAGTTGAAAGTAGAGTCGAACAGAAAACGGAGAATTTCAGTGGTCTAAGGTTGCCAAAAATAAATTGAGCAGATGCAACACCACTTTAAACGACACTCAGCCATATCACTCAGTGTCTCTAACTATCTGTTACGATCATCCCGATGTTCCCGTCCCGGGAGCCTAATGGGACCTATATGACCCAGTCCCTGGGTCCGGATTTTTATACCCTCGTACCAGGTCTTAGCTTGACCACCCTTGGCTTTATTTCACCCACTACTGGCCTCGGCGAACATCGCTCGCCGTGGCAACCTATTTGGTGACTAATTGTAGTGGTTGGAATGGCCCCATCGGACAGTCGGATGACACCCGACAAATCAGAGATAGAGATGTGACGTTTCGGCTATCGATGTGAGAATGGTGAATGTCTATTCAAATTTTCTAACCACTATCGGAGGTTCATTAAGCACAACACCCGAAGAAAATATGAAGCGTCTGGAGTTGAAAGCCGTGTATGTCTCCAAAGCCTAAATTGAAACAGGTGCTTACTAGGTATCGACAGTCGACGAACGAACAGCATTAGAAGTCATCGCCAGAGACAGTGAAAACAACTCGTTCAGAGATAAGAGTTAACCGCGTGAAAACTAGAAAGAGTTCATTATCCCTCGACTCGGCAACTACAGGGCGTATTTTCACGGGATCCCACGAAAAGAGTCAAACCGACGAGCAAAGATCAGACAAACAAAGCAACCAGTCAAACTTGACGGCTACTCCGTTCCATAGAAAACTCACTTTATCCCGAACGGACCCGGCTTGTCACCACGAAGACAACCTTGTTGAAGAATATGCGCCACAGTGTAGTAAGCCATGTAAATGGTGGAATCCGAAAGTGACTCAATTAGCCACTTTTCATCCCAAGGCAAATGCGTGCCAAGTCCGTAGGTGCGTGAGCAGGCGTGTTCATGTAACCAATTCAAAGTTGCTTCGAAACTGCGACGAACCTATGAATGACGCGAGTGAGACAGAAAAATATTTGAATAGAACGTTTATGCCAAATGATGAATGATGATCATGAATGAGATGAAATTCAGTAAAGTCAGTAACGGTACATAGGCCCATTGCGTGTCGTAAACAACAGTCTAACTCAACAAAGAGACAGATCCTTATCAATACGTTACGGGGTCTACTGGCTCGATCAGGAATATTGTCACAGCTACTTCAAATGATACAGTAACGTGGGAGAGGAATGACACAATTTAGAAATTAAATTGGTAACCGCGCGGATTTAGTTAATTAACGGCTCATGCGACAAATCCCAACGTACATGAATCAGAGAGCAGAAAATGTAGTTCTAACGAAGATCATGTATACACATAGTTTCTGCAAATAAAACTTGTTTTGTCCCAGTTGGTTTACAATACCATAGACCAAATGGAAACATCGGAATTTCAATCTATTTGGTATTTTGTACTGCTGGTGAAATGATCATCATTTAAGGTTCAATGCACTTGCCTCGTCCGTGACAGATAGCTGAGCCAACGCTTTTCGTGTTATTTCTTTCCACTCCTCCGATCCGTAGTACAAAAACCATTGGTCGCACAGGGCCACGACTGCCTCGTCTCCGCTGCGTGAGACAACAGTGCGCTCAGGCTCGTAATAAATGATTCCTTCACCCTAAAAAAAATCGAAGAAAGATGATGATCGTTTGTTTAGTCAAACGATTCATAATCGAATTCCGCGAAGTTGCCCATCAATGAAATTGACCACCTCTAAATTGTTTGTTACCTGATCACAGTGTATACCGAATATGGTCTGGTTTATTCGAATTAATCTAATTACTGCGATGCTACGTGTCCAGAGTCAATCCAAACCTGGACTTAGCATGAACTGGGTGACCAAAACAAAAGGAGAGGTAGATACAACATTTAAAGACAAAGAAAAAACGGCAGGAAGAAGCGTTCGTTACGTTATGTAACGCGTTTTGCAGAACATCATCTATGGCAAAGTTGAACAGAGACGGAGAGATAGGGCAACCCTGTCGTACCCCACTGGTGATAAGAAATGAAGGCGAAAGTTTACCATAGGCCCTAACCTTCCCCAGGGTACGGCGATAGTGCTTTGAGGATTGAAATATACTTCTCGGGTACTCCGTATCTCCGCACAGTTCCACAATGCGCGGCAATGAACAGAGTCGTCAAGCTGTTTGCATCTCATATTTTTGCGGCCACTAAATCGCATAGACAACGTGGCACAAACCAGTGCGTGGTTGGAGTAAAGTAAGTGAACCGAGGACTTGATGCACCGTGAAGACTTGATCAATAGAGCAGTGATCAGGTCAGAATGACTTTCTTAAATGCGTGAGTTAACAAGTTGATGACAATTACCATGACACCAGGCGGTGCATCATCTCCTTCGAAAACTCCTCCCTGAAAAAAGTGCGAGAATGCTGCTGTATTTGGTATTTAACCACGTCTCTTAGGGTTTCCAATTGATGAAGTTATACGTAAAGTCAAGTCAAGTCGATTAGTGATAGAATGGTGTTAGGTCATTGTCTTAAAATAAAACAGTGAATTATGCGCGTCAGTGTAGATAACCGTGTTTGAGAGTTTACAATAATGTTGCTGTGAGAGACGTCATTTTCGACCGAAAAGTCTTCAAATTATTATTGTGGGGACGATGTTCCGATAGTCTTGCGCAAATATGATAGGTAACCCTGGCGAGAAGTCAGATGCAGAGCGATTAGCAATTTAGCGTTTGATTTACTCGAAATAATTTCGTTTAGATTTGATAAAAAAAACTATTTGGGTGTATTATTGGCAGAAATGTATTCAGAGATGAATTCAGCGCCTCAAGATCCTAGAGAGGAGCAATGAAATCCATCAAATCACTTCGATTTGAATACAAAATGGACGCTTATGATGTTAAATACAGTGCGACTAGAGCGAAAATCGGACATGATCATCTTTCAATTCAGCTGTTGGAATTGGTATTTATAAGTCTTATTTCAATTTACCCGTGTTGCTGTACTGTTACAAAAATTAAAGTCGAACAAGTGAATGAGCTTACCGCTTGTACCAAATCCTGCCTCACAAGGTTTTTCACTAACTGCACCTTGGAACCTTTGTAGGCACCGATAAGCATAACCTGAACGAGAAGTTAGTTTATTGATAGAAAGGACTAACTCCATCATAGAATCCGGCTTTGTAAACTTTTTCTTTTGCTTCAAGCAATTTATCCGTGTCGTTCTGACTTTGAATTTTCATCTGATCCACCACTGTTACAGCGGCTAGTTTCCCCAAGCCAGGTGTTTCGATGATTTCCACCTGAATTTTAGTATAAGCGTCAGAAAAGGTGGCGTGAACTTACCGGTTCGTAGGGCATCACCATGTCATCTGTAATGTTATATTTTTCTCGTAAAGCCTGAAAAACATTTTTTAAAGTCACGTTATTCTAGTTTACGATTACTTGAACACAAAGGTAACATACGGTGTGAGAAGATTCGCAGTTGAAGAACGAGTTTCTGCATATGAGCACTAAACAGGTTTTGAAAAAAGATCTAGCATCAATATTAATTGAGTATTAAGTCGTAAAATTTGACAAGACAAGCGAAAACATGGACAACGAATGCACAAGACTCACCGGCTTCTTTTTGATATCCCGTAAGGCTGCCCAGTCATCTGGGGAATCACTTGGAACACTGGTGACCACTCCCGTTCCCTTGGTAGACTTGATGGAAAGCATGGGAAGAGTGTAGACTCCCTCTGTATACATAGACAATGGGGCTTTGACTTTGAGGCCAAACAACTCCACACCCTTCACGTGTGCAACCACGTCCAACTTTGCCGAAGAAGATGGATCCAAGATACCCTGTAGACGATTGAGTCAACGGTCAATTATGAACATTGTCTTCCAAACCACAATTCAAGAAACACGAACAATTATGACTGAATCACTGAAAAAGATCCACTATAACACCGGGGATAAAGGCTGAAAACCGTTTCAAACGGACTATTAATGTGTTAAGTTAAAGATTACGGAGAATGCAGTATTAAACCTTGCAAATGAAAAATAGACCAAGTCTAATGAATCGATGTATTATGACCTGCTATTTCACCAAATTACTGACTGTACAGAAATAAGAATTTGATAAAACTATGTACAACAAAATACCTTCAACAAGAGAACTGAGAAAGCAAAAATATCACTATTTAAGGAAACTGATGCTAAAAGCATCATTGAAATTTTTGATTCGACAATAAATGATGTGAAAAAACAATGTTATATAAAAACCGAATGCGTTATGCACCAAACAAAGATAAAACGCAAACCACACTTGCCTGATAAGCCATGTTTAAAGCGGAACGCTCGGTGCAAATGAGAATGCATGATTCTCGAACTGATCGGACAGCGATGTAATCAATGTCAGGATGTAACCAGCAGTTAGTTTGCCCATACATTGTCTCAGGTCGTAGAGTGGCCGCAACAAGATATATAGGTTCTTTTTCTCGATCCACATGTCTGACAAAA